TATGTATGTATGTATTTATTTATTTTACGGAACCAGGGATTGAACTCAGGCCCTTGCGCTTGCCAGGGAAGCGCTTATCCCACTAAGCCATCTCCCTGGCCCCTAAGAACTTGGTTTTTCTTTTTTTTTTTTTTTTTTTTCAGAACCTGGGATTGAACTCAGGTCCCTGAGCTAGCCAGGGAAGCGCTTATTCCACTGAACCATCTCCCCAGCCCCAGCACTTTAAAAATAACTGTTGCCTCTCCCAACTCAGAATAAAGCTAACTAAAATTCTGTTCATCAAAAGCTGTAGATTTTACAATATAATCTAGATTTCTTTATAGGAAATATGAAATTAAGACACTTAAACTATTTTGACCTAAACTTAAAAGATGCAATTTAAACACAATCATTTTGCTATGGCAATTTGGTATATGTACCTGACCCTTTACCACTTCCTGAAGACTATGCCATGTGTAAAGGACTATGCCATGCTTAAGGACAGTTCATATAAAGCTAAGGATAAGGGTGGTGATATAATTCAGCTGTAAAAGGCTTGCCTAGCACATGTGTTCCATTCCCAGCACTACAAACAAAACAATACAATCCTAAACACACAAAAGAAAACAAAAGGATGAAGACAGTGAAATATATGTGGAGAGTATAATATAAAGTGGTTATATAAGTATGACCACTTTCTATCTGATGCCAATGGAGATACAAAGATGAACTACTGATATGAACTTTAAATCACAATCAAGTAAAAGAACATAAAGAAATGAATTTTCTACTGAATTTGAAGTCATAGTCCTAAACACGTTTTGGTTTTCACAGGTGTCGGCTGGTGGGAAAAGCAAGATGGGAACAAAAAGATGGTAAACCAGCATCAGAATTATCAAGGAGGCATTTCAAGAGGTTATTTCATATTACAACATATTCTTAACTTGAACTAAGTAACCGTCAACACTTCTATCTGATATGACAGGATGACTCAATAGCCAACAATCTTAGAAACCTAGTTCTATATTCAAACACAGAACGAAAGAAAAGTTTCTTTCCTATATAGTAAATATATTAAGGCATCTATTTCCTCCTTCTGTAGACTGAAGACTATCTTTACTCCTTTTAGTTTTTAACCACTCCTCACAAAAAGTTTATTAACTCTTACTGAGAGACTGAGCAATGTTAAAACACAGAAGACATATGTGGTTCTAGTTTTGAAGGCCATGTTAGAATTACTAGTTTTCCAATTATTATAGAAGGTTAATAACAGTGCTTTTTACACCAAATGGCACTAAGTGACCTGATTAAGAAAGTATCCTCAGAGACCCAATTCTCCTTTGTTACTGAGGCAAATTTCCTATAGAAAATAGTTTTAGAGAAATTTTCTACTATTTTGTTTTTAAAGAAAGTTGCCACTGTTTTTATTTCTGTCACCTGAAAGTTACTCATGTTACTGCATTATCTATAAACGTTTTTGGCAAGAGTAATGGAGTAAAATTTTCCTTTAGGATTTTTTTCTACTGAGTTACTAACAGGTAACTTAAATACTTATTAGAAACTAAGACTCCTTATAGTGTATGGCACAGATTCCTGCTGCCCTCCTCCCCTCCATATTCCCATACCACTGTGGCTCATCTTTCATGCCCCCCACCCCCCAAGAAATACTTTCTGTTCTTTGGGGAAAAGAGAAAAGCTTTAAGTTTGGAGGAGTCAGGGAAGACCTGCCTGGAGTTGGAGACTTCATCACATCAAATAATCTACATGCAGCATCCTCATGTACGTGATGCCAGTGGAGGAGGGCAATGGCAGACACTGAGGAAGGCAGCCTGAATCCAGATCTGAGGATAAGAGAAAAGGATGTTCCAGGGAACAGAACTCTACCTCAAGGAAAGACCAAATGAAAGGGTGTCCTACACATCTAGCAACACTGAACCAACTATATAGGTTTGAGTAGTCTATAACTGAGATACATCTTTGGAAAATATGTAGGTAGGGCTTCTGGGAATTAAGAGTGTGTTCCAGAAACAACCAAACACCAAATACTCGATCCAAAAACTAACTAGAGTTGAGGAGAGAGAAGTAAAGAAAGAAGAGATGGTCCTTTATAGTAGGTAGGCTCTACATTCTACAGGGAATAAATAGTCCATCCTGTTGTCATTTAATCAAGGAAGAGGAATTATGCCAATTAAAATAGGATTTTTCCTCTAATATCTTTCAGGAGAAAACAGTGACTGAATTATTTCGAAGCACAAATGGACATGTAAACCAATACCACAAGAGCACACACAAAACATATCTCTTCTTAACCAGTCATCAATTGTTGTGTGCTCTCAGTAACCTCAAGGGCTCTCGGAAGAGACAACAGTGAATACCCACAGTGAAAATTTAAGCACCAAAAAAAGCAGAATATGTTCAACCTTAGTCCCAATGGTTTCTGATGCATTCACATTGAACAATGAACTCGTCATAAACTCACATGGGTAGAGGGCTATCTAAAAAATGTGTTAAATGTTATGATTATAGGCATCTTATGTTTTAAAAAATGCAAAACCACATAAACAGACATACCTTTTTACAGGAGCTGAATGTGCCATCAGACAGAAGGGGCCTTCGACGCCTCTCGGGCATAAAGGGTGAGCCAAAGCGAATGTAGTGTTTGGGAGTGGTGCAAATTAACGGGGAATGAATAAGACCCGGTAACATGTTCAGGGTTGTTGCCAGTACAGTTGGGTCTGTGGTGATACGCAAAGGGCACTCAACAGGGCACTCTTGCTTCTCTGCTTTGTCATTCAACCATTCTGTAACTAGATACTAGAGTTTAAAAAAAAAAAAAAATCCGTCAGTGCTGCATATAAAAAAGCTACAGGCAGCAGTGCAATTCACAAAGACAAACCACATCTAGAAACTAGGGCAGATGTAGCAACTGCAGTGAGGATGAACTGGGCATTCAGAATGTAAGGATGTCTTCCTGCATTCTGTCCATGCCCTTCCTAAGAGATGAGTAATTTTAGCTAACAGTGACTTTATGCTCTGCCTAAAAATAAAAGAACAAAAGGTAATAGAATGGCTTCATCTTTCCACATAAAGGTATTTTTTTCTAGACCTTTCAAACTATTAACACTAAGATTAATTTTTCCTGAAGATTATAGGTTGCCTCATTTCACTAAAATAGTTCCTTGCCAGACTAAGCCTATGAAGATGTATTTGTCACTTACCTTTTTGGTTTTGGGGTACTTTGATGCAGTACGATTGACATGGGATCCAGGAACTGATAACACAGCTGGGTCAGATCCTGTTAACTGTCTGTTTTCTCCTAAACTGTCTATACTTCCAGCTTCAGTAGGAGTTGCTGAGTTGTTATTTCCCCCCTCTTCTAAGGCAGCTTGTGACAGCTCTGCCTGTTGCGCACTGGCCTGCTTTTGACGCTTTAGTCTTTGGGCTGAACTGGTCCTGTACCGAGAAATTCGACTCTTCGGTCGAGGCCTAGAAGGTTTTGCTGAAGGTGCTTTAGGGGCTGGTTTTTCTGCAGCAACATCCTGTAACAATATTAGGGTCAAATGCTGATGAGAAACTTCACTATCAGAAAAACTCCCTCCAGTTTCCTATTTACCATATTTTGGGGGCAGAGGGGAGGAAGAGACACCTATTCTCAAAAATGTGTATTGGTAAAACAAAAAACAAAAAACTTTGAATCACTCAAATAAATGTAATCCTTAAATACAAACATACATTTAAATAGCAGCTAGAGGTTCAGCTTATTTCTAATAAGCATCGATATAAAATAATGCTAAAATCAGCAAAAGGCAGTGACCTAATTATAGGGTTATTAATAGGGAAGAGAACTCTCCCTTTTCTATCTTTCCCAGATACTGAGGCTTTAACATTTCACTCATGGTTAGGGTAGGAAAGGCTAAGAAAGGTTTATCTTGACAATGCAATGAAAAGTCGGGGGCTTACTTGGCCATACAGAAGATCGTGAGAAACCAAACAATGTTTATTTGTGTGCATGTGTATGTGTGGTAGGGACTGATCTTAAGTCCTTGCACATGTTAAGTTCTCTCTTCACACCTGGCCAGAAATCAGTGTTTTCTTTGTTCTGGAAGATAGGATCTTGCGATCTTCCCAAGGGTTGACATTAAACTCTCAAGCCAAAAAAAAAAAAAAAAAAACAACAACAACAAACCCTCTCAAACCTCAATAGTATTATAGCTGTGGGTTCCTAAAAGATATTTTGTTTAACTTGTGATGGGATTGAACCTATGGCCTTGTGTATGTTATGTAAGTATTTTATCACTGACCTACATCCTTCCCCCTCCCAAATATTTTTAGGAACTTGCTACCAACAGTTTCTGGCAGAAACGTTATCAAATTCTATTCTAGCCTGAAAGTAGTCATTTAAACTGACTTCTCTTTGAATCCCAGGAGTCAGCTAATTGAGAAGTTAAATTGCTTTATTTATTGTGATATGGAACAAAGTCGACAGTATTAATTTTAATTATTCCAAAAAATAAGATAAACAGAATCTTTTCTTCTCTCACCCCTGCTTGGGAAGACCTCCGAGTGTTCACACCACTATTCTGTGGGGTGCTTGGGACGGAACTGTTTGATCCAGTGTTGCCAACGTCAGATTCAGGGGATTCAGTTTTTGCTTCTTCTCCAACAGGAGTTTCTGAGGTGGTAGTAACTTCTATGTCAGAGATGCTCTGCTCCAAGGGCTGATCCCGCCGTTTCTTTCTTTTCTCTAAGTTTTCAAAAGTGTGAATGATGGCTTCAACCTTCCTATCTTCTCGGTTCTAGAAAGAAACAGCGTTAGCAGAGAACCTCAGCAGGCCACAGCAGACATACACTTTATAAATAAATTGATTAAAACTCTTTGAACTATTAGTAAGATGATTCAAATATCTTTGAGAATGTAAGATAAAAATTAAAATACTGATTTAAAATATAGGGAAAAATTATTTTTAAAAAAAAGAAAGTAAGACTAAGTCTATACTTTTTTTTTGATACCAGAAACTGAACTCAGGATATTGCACTTGCTAGCAAGGGAGGCACTGTGCCACTGAGCTATATCCCTGGCCCTACCTGTTTTACTTTTTTTTTTTTTTTCCCTCTTTCTTCTCTTCATTTATGCATTTGGTACAGGGTCTCACTATGCAGAATGGACTCATGGTGAGTCTCCTGTTTATACCCTCCCCAGCTCTGGGATTACAGGCATGTGTCACTACACTAGGACTCTGCTGCCTGCTCAGCGTGCCCCAGGGGTGGCGCTGGGGATTGAACCCTGATCCCTGAATATTTTACTTAAAGGTCAAGTATTCTCACATTTTAAAATGTGAAATAAAAATAGCCCAAAAATCCAATTTTCTCTGTTCTGGAGTTCAAAACCAATCAAGGGGACCAGGTATGGCAATGCAAGCCTGTAATCCCAGCACTTGGGAGGGCAAGTCAGGAGGATCACTGAGGGTTCAAGGCCAGCATGGGTTACATACACAGTGAACTCAAGGCCAACCTGAGCTACACAGTGAGACCCTGTGTCAAAGACAAAAAAATGAAACAAAAAACCAATGGGGGGAATTGTCCTTGAACTTTCCATGAGGAAAAATAATTTTACTTATTTATTTTTTTTTGCCGAACTGGGGATTGAACTCAGACCCTTGCACTTGCCAGGGAAGAGCTTATTCTACTGAGCCATCTCCCTGGCCCTAATAAATATTATTTCTGGCATAAAAGTGAATTATTTTAATCTACATGATTGAAAGTTTAATAATAATAAAAAACCCCACAACCACATATGCGCATATGTGCATACATGCACGGGCATGCACTCCCCCAAAAGAATTCCTAAGCCAGAGCAAAATAGCATACTTTGGTTCTGAACACCTAGTTTTTAGAAAATCAGTAACTCACTGAATGCGTAGAGAAAGAAGTGAAAATTATTATGAATTTGACCTGACAGAAAAAGGCCATATTAAATCTTCAGGGGAAATAAATGAAGTGACAGGAATACAGGAAGATTCTCTCCTGTTAGGGGTAACAAAAATCAGAAAGAGCAAAAGGATGTCAGATGTTACCTACCCTCCTGCTATGAGCTGGGTTCTCCACGTCTTCTGCAACCTCTTCTTTTTCTTCTGGTTTTTCTTCTGGATTGTCTACTTCCTGTAAGATAGAAGGAATTATAAAGTTGTATTCTTAAACTGGGTTAGAATATGTTTTAACTTTTCTTCTGGTATGCAAAAAAAGCTTTAGAAACAATTTCTAGTGCTTTACACTCAGGTGAGACCACAGGTCAAACACAGGTAACTCCCAAGCACTACACTGAAATCTGGAAAATAGTTCAAAGGATGTTTTCTCTTCTTCTGTGGGCATGAAGATCAATTTCTAGGGCCTTGTGCATGCCACACAAGCAAACCTACCACACAGCACTACTGAAAGAATGCTCTTAACTTTGTAAAATTAATGAATGCACACACCTATGTTGATATACAGAGCATTAAGCATTATTATAGGATCCCAAACAACAGGTGACAATGTAGAATCTACTAGTAGTGGGAAACCTATGGCACATATGCTACATTGGTTTATTTGTATAACAACTCTCTAAAAGGTTTGCCATCACTGTACTAGAGGATTAATAACTATATCATTATTAATTATTTCACTAGGGGAAGATTACCTCATGATCACTGGATACGTTTACTTTTTCTGGAACTTCTTGTGGTTGCTGGTCACTATTTTCCTCTGAAGCCTCATTCTGCTGCTCCATCTCTAGTTCTTTCCTCCGTGCTTTTCTACGTCTAGTCTCTGCCCCAATGGTGGGTAGGCTTGGAGGAGGTGGAAGTGGCAGTTCTGCAGCGCTAGGATTTCTTTTCTGTATGGGGCAATTCCGGTTTCCCTTGTGACACGCACAGTCCACTTTATAATTACTGCTCCAAAGAAATAACCAAAAAAACCTATCTCAGTAAAAGCATATTATCTATTCATTCTTTCAAAATATCAGCATAGAAATTTCTCCTTGTGCTATCTTTGTCCAGATTTCTTTCTTTTTTTTTTTTGGTACCAGGTACCAAACTCAGGTCTTACCCTTGCCAAGCAGGCACTTATGCTGCTGAGCTATCTCTCTGGTCCCTTTCTGTGTTATCTTTGAATAAATGAAACAAATCAGAGTCTCTGAAAATAATTTTAATAGTCTGTGTTCTTCTGTATATCCCAAATTCTAGTTCTGCATATAATCAGTAGAAAGGAAAATTAAATTTTCCCAATTGCTTTTATGCTATACAGAGGACACTGAATCTGAGGCAGTATCTGATGTGACCACACTCATCGTGGGCCCACACTTTACCCTGTTCTCACTTTTATTCAATTCCCTACCTATCAATACTCTTTTCTTTTCACACCTGAGTATGACTTTACCACATAACCTGTTTTACACAAAATACTCAAAGGGGCAAGCATTTACTTAATCATAGATACCTGTTCTTCTTTTTTTTGTATTTTAGGGAAGGGTCTATAAGGTGTTCAGGGTCTCACTACTAGATCGGACTCAGTGATATGCCTGTTTACAGCCTCCCAAGAGCTAGGATTACAGGTGCATGTCACCACGCCCAGTCTCAATTGCCCAGCGCACCTGGGGGACAGAGCTGGCAGAGAAAGCTGGGTTATCAAACCCCTGGCCCCTGCGCCTGTTTGCAGGAGCTTTAATCTGAGACAGATACCTATTTTAAGTAGATGGGATTAATCACTAAAAAGCCTCCACCCTGTGCATTAATAAGGTTTTTTTTTAAAGTTTTTATTTCTTTATGTATTTAGTATAGTATCTACAGGGTCTCACTGCATAAATCAGACTCAAAGTGATCCTCCTGTTTTCATCCTCCCTTGCACTGGGATTACAGGTGCGCACCACCACGCCCAGTCTCAATCCTATCTCAGCACGCCATGGGGCTGGCACTGCAAGACAGGGATCAAACCCCAGCTGCTGTGCTCTGTCTAAGCAGATGCTTTAGTCCACTGAGCTATCTGGTTGGTCCTCATTAATAAGATATAAATGACAGCTACTTGGGAAATTGAGGCAGGAGGTGCTCAAATTGAAGGATAACATGGTCAACATTAGCAAAATACCTTCTCAAAAGCAAGAAAAAAACCCACCAAATACTGATTATAAAAATTACAAATGACAAAATTATAAATCAATGCTTTTGTGAATTTTTATAATTATCATTATGTAAGGCTACTTCAGCTTCCAGGAATGTCTCATACATAAAGAGTTATACAATAATCCATGCCTGTAATTCCAGTTTCCTGGGAGTCTGAAGCAGAAGGATCACTAACTCAAGACTAGCCTAGACAACTTTGCAAGATTCCATCTCAATATAAAATAATTAAAGACAACTGATGATGCACTGGGTTCAACACATACACATCACCAATGCATATGACCGCCACTACCACCAAAACCCCTCAAATACCTAAACAAACAAATAAAGAAACCCAACCAAACCCCACAAACAAAGTCTATAAACCACCATCTGTGTTGAAATTCCAGAACCGTATCCTATAATACCTGTGACTAAATCTATAGAAAACAAAAAAATCAGAAAACACCAAATTTGGGTTTTTTTCACCATTTTCAGGCAAAACACATGATTCATGAAAAGATTAAATAAGCAACAAAAGCAGATTCTAACAGTTTAAAGCAGATTGAACAGTTTAATATTTAAAACAAGCTCATTCATGTTAGGAGGTCTTACCAGTTACTGTACTCATAATCAAATGCAATGGTGACCTCAGCATCCTTGGTGATGGCAGACACAGCATAGATACACAGATGAATCATCCCATCTGCAATCATGTGTCGCACCTGTGTGAACAAGGTACATGATCATCAGATTTGTCAAAATGGTGATAAATTCTCCATAAGAAAGGGGGGAACCCCCCCCAAAGACTTCTACCCAAATCATCTCTCCCCACTTAGTGACAGCAGCCTTCTGTTTAACTTGATCATTATATCCCAAATTGTTACACACTAAGCTCCTCAATACTTAGGACACTTCAAGAGAAAATTGTGAGAGGCAAGAAATCAGGGTAAATAACTGTTGTTCACCTCAAAAGTATTTCTAGCTCCACCAGAGAATTAAAATTCTTTAACCTACAAGGCCCTATGGATTTTCTTGTACCAAGCAGTGAATTCTGAAAATGTCTCTTTACAATATTGTTTCCTAAAACCAAACACTTAGATTGAAACCAATGACATCTATCACACGATCATTTCTTTAATGTAACTTTATTGACCTCTTATACAATTTAAGCTCTTTCTTTTAGAAAATACTAACATACTCTCTCCCATGTCTGCATTCTTTAAAGAAAGTCCACTCCTTGCTCCTATTAGTATAAAAAAAGCTCCATTACTTTTTATGCCCCAGCTGTTGTAACGAAAGATCACAACTGATAGCTACAGACCTTTATCTGCGTGAAGTTTTCACACTGCTTCTTCAGTACACTTGTCCTTTGGTGGTTCCACTCAAATGGAAGTTGCTACAGATATCTTACCTCTGCATTTGGTGTACATGATCTCCTGATGAACCGAGCATCATTACCGAAAGTACGAGCATCCACACACATCTCTACACCATTGAATTTTGAGTAGAAGAGCACAAAGGGATATGGTCTAGGGATATAATTGAAATTTCTGTAATTCTCAACACAAATAAAAAGGCCACCCCATGATTCTAAATATGAAGCATATGCTGACAGAAGTAGCAAGAGTCCTCTACAATGCCTAAACATGGAAAACACCACATGCTTGTCTGTTTTTGATTAAAGCACAAGCACAAAGCAAGGAATACTGACCTTGGAAAGGAGTTACTACCACTTTATACATTAAACAATTTACAGATTTGTACTCATCTACAAATAGCACCCTATTGGCCAGGTTGATTTTTATAGCAATATTGGTCAGACAGAATGATGTTAAACCCTTATTGCTCAATGAATGACATTCTTACTTTTTGAAGAAATGTCCATTGACTTCAAACTGCTGTCGTAACATGACTTTCCCACGATACTCTATGATAAGAGTGTCCAATGCCAGATCTCTTGCAGCCCTCAGTATTTTTCGGTGCTTTTGAACTCGAGTGACTCTTCCCAGCTGTAACTGAATAAAACCAGAATATGATCACCAAATAGTAGACATTTGGAGTATGTCACAAGTGACAAAAAGCTTCCAGTATTTTCAGGGTTTATTTATTTATGTGTGTGTGTGTGTGTGTGTGTGGCCAGCTCAGCCCACCAGGGGGTGGGGCTGGCTGGCATGTGGTGCTGGGGGATTGAACTGCGGTCCCTGTGCTTTGCTAAGCTTGTTCTAAGTAGGTGCTTTAGACCACTGAGCCATCTCTCCAGTCCTTCAGGGTTTATTTTTGCACGTTATGTGGCTCAATAATCAGAAAATTTTAATTTGAGTATAACCTCAATTTTTCTAGGAAACATGTTATCTAGTGAACCTGCCACCTGCAAAAGGCAAGATCAAAAGAACAGGATTAAGATTTTAGTGGTTCTACCATTTAACAGAGTATAAAAATGACATTAGATTTCTATTAGTCTTTCATAACTCCTAGGCAGTATAAAATTTTCCATCTCAATCCCCCCCCCCTTTTTTATTTTGGTGGTACTGGGGATTGAACTCAGGACCCTGCGCTTGCCAGGCAGGTGCTTATTCTACTAAGCTATTTCCCCAGCCCAATTCCTTTATTTTTGATTAATACAGTTTAAAAATACATATCTACATAATTTAGTTCATATAAACTTATTTGAGCTTAAGATGATAAATAGCTGGATAATTTGCCATTCTAAGGCCTCCTTCATTCGGTAGAAACAGAAATTCCAATTTACGTACCCTTCCTGTATTCTATAAACACTCCCAATTTAACCTCTTTAAGCCATTTCATCCTTACCTGCATTTGTGAACCAATGACTGTATTATTACAGGCCAATTCAGTCTTATTAATAGTGTCTAAAACAGCAGGCTTTCCCACAAATTCCTTGCTAGAATGGAGATGTTGTTCAAGGGCATTCTGTACATCTGCACTGTACTGATTAGTGAAAGCTTCTTCATACTGATCAGTCCATAGTCTTATCCGATTTTCCCAGCCCTCGGTTGTATTCTCATCTAAATTCTGTGCTTCAGAGGGAGAATTCTGTAGAGAACAAAAGTCAGATAGGTTAGTCAAGTCCATGAATGAAAATACAGAGGACAGAGGGGCTGGGGAGAAGGCTGAATTTCCAAAGAAAATTTGTTTTCACTGTGGCATGAAAGAATAATGGACTGGGAGTCAGAAGATTTGGCTTTTATCATAGATTTATTACTACTGAGCTGTGAAGCCTTCGACAATCTCTACAAAGCAATGATGTTCAGTTTCTCTGTTTATAAAAGTAAGAAAATAATCTAGGTCATAGTTCCATCCTATTACTTATTTTATGACCATTTTAAAGTCACAAACAAAATTTCTATCAGAAGAATGACATCAGTTCATAAAATCTTCATAGAAAGGAATGCTACAGACAATTTGAGTCATCACATTGCTTCAATGTCCAACATTTATTAAAGTCAGCTGTGTGAATGTGTTAGGAACAAACTAGTTTGTTTTACTGCTGTCCAGGAAAATAATGTTATTTTTTGGTCACTTATTGTCATTAACATTCATTCTAAATGTACATGTGATCCCAGTCACTGAATCAATCATACTCTTACCCACAGAAAAAGGAACCATTTTGAAGTACTTTTTAAAAAAGAAAATTGATATAATTAAATTCTAAATAATATGAAGGAGATAAGAAGAGAGGAGTGGGGAGAGGTTAACAGAAAATGTCTGAGAACTAGGTACTCTAGTGCTACAGTCCTCCAGGAAAAGCATTGCTATCTATGTTGATAGTACTTAAATAACTATATCTCAGCAACAGCAGTTTCCAACCACTCTATAGCTTGAGCTATGGAGACATTAAATTCTGACACATTCTCCTCCAATGGCATTTAAGGCCTGAGGGACCACCAGAAAAACAAACATTGGTAGTGATGATTAAAAGGAAAAGACTCTGTAGGAAGCAATGCTAATAAAAATCCATGTCCACTTCTAAAAGAAGGCCTAACAAAATTAAATACACTTTCCAAGAATGGCAAAGAGAACACTGATGTCTATGCTAACAACTGCTTCCTTTAGCCATTTTTGCACCATTGCTATTGATTGTTCTCTATCATCCTTTCCCCAAGGAACAGGAAAAATAAAAAAATCCAAGTTAGCATCACACTTTAATGACTTTTCACTAGTCTGAAAGACTGAATAATAAAGGGAGACCAAAAAATACTTAAAACCAACACATGACAATCATAAGTACTAGCTGTTCGACACTGTCAATAGCAGTTGAGCAAAAGGATAATGCAAAACATGAGATCTAAGTATGCTTATAAAACTGGAATTAAGAGTGTACAAACAGTATTCCCAGCTTCTGATCTAATATCAACTGTGAAAATTACAAATTGTTAAATTTTTTTGTATTTTGGAAATCTATGTCACAGAATCAGCAATTTTTCTCATCCATCCTGCCTTCCTTTCTTTCTGCTTTATAGTAGAGACAGGATCTCATTATGTAGCTGAAATTACAGGTGTGCACCACCACTTCCGGCTTATTATTTACTAATCTGTTTATTTTGCAGTCCCATCATCCTTCAGGAGGTGGAAACTCCACCTCAGTGGGTTAAGAGCAGAGTTTCTCAACTGGGGCTAATTTGCTCTCAGGAGATACCAGGTAGTACTGAAGGCGTTCTGATCATCAAAACTGTGTGTGGTGCACTAGTGGGTAGCAGCGAGGGATATGGCTAACTAGCTTCAAATACAAAAGACAATCCCCCAAACAACACAGAATTAGTTGGTCAAAAATGTCAATAGTTTATTTAGAGAAAAGGTTTAGAGTTAAGTCTCTAGTAATAAAGCTCTAGGCTTTCAGATGAAAACTCCAAAGGATTGAATCTTCTATCCTTACAGTTTATGGCTGCATCTTGGGTGAAGTTTTAGAATTATAAAACAATAATCAACTAACATGGTGTGTGTACTAAACATGTCTGTGGGCAGAAAACCTTCAGAAGCTGTAGTAAATCCAGCTGATAGCTTTAAAAAGTTTTTTGTGTGTGTATTTTAGAGAAGGGTGTACAGGGTGTTCAAGGTTTCACTACTAGATTGGACTCGTAGTGATTCACCTGTCTACAGCCTCCCAAGAGCTGGGATTACAGGCACGCACCACCACTCCTAGTCTCTTAAAAAAGGTTTTGAATCTCTAGGGTAAGTTACAATAACTGACTAATGAAACTGAAAGTATCTTCTCGCCTCGGATCAAGGTTGTTTGCTCCTAAAACTCTGAGGAGCCCTTCCTAAGGAAGTGGAATGGGGTGGGAGTAGGTTGTGTTCCAGAACATAGCCCTGGCCTCTGAAGCTCTACCTGTGAGGTCCTATGTCTTCTCCCATCTAGATAAGAGGCCTTTAAACTTTAGATAAAGCATCAATTGTAATTTTTGATAATGAGTTATATTGGTGTACCACATTAAATATAAAGTAACCCCAATAAAAGTTTCCCCCTCCTAAGACTTTATGATATATAACTGTCAAAAGGAAGGATCTATCTTTTCTACCATGTATAAAGTTAGGGATACGGAAACTTAACGAACTTAATTCTAACTAAGTCTTTAAAGCCATAGTTATGATTTGGAAAGTCCTCTTTTGTACATATATAAGGTAAAATAAGATACTACAGAATATAATCAAAGCTTTTCGCAAACTTTTTATTGAGTATATAAAAGTATTTTTAAAACATTACACATAATTTTCTCTATTCTCCAACCTCTGTTACAAAAAGCATGCCTTACAAACTCTTGGTAACTTAAGAAACACACATGCATCATGTAAGTGTTTTCTACCAAATAAGAATTCCAAGAAAAGAACCTGAAAGGAAACCATTCCCAACAACATTAAGTCCAATCAGTAATACACCTTTCCTGCTACTGAGTTGTTCCTGTTGATTAAAGCTCACACGGTGCTGTGGTAGGTGCACAAGAGATTCTGCATCATTACCAGAAAGCCCTCACTCCTGAGGTGGAGCCCAATTAGACTGACAAAACACCAGCAGTCTCAGTTTGTTTGGCAAAATGTCATGTGCCCAACCAGAAAAGCAGCTAAAGAAAAACCAACAAACACAGGGTGATTATAGAAAGGAAAAATGTTTCAGAAAATGTCTAAAAACTCTACTTTGAAAAAAGCTGTATGAAAACGGAATGGCAACAATTACAAAGTAATAAAAGAACAGATTCCAAGATTCCCAAACTATCAGTGTCAGGAAAGAAGCTGACCAAAAATGCAAGATCACAGTGAAGTAAAACACAGCATCAGGGAAGATCACCCCTTACCTTCATCCGCAAGGACTTCCGGGATCCCTCTCGAAATGCCTATCCCAAAGAGGAAAACAAGTAGAACAAAACAAAACTTGGTACCAAGAATGACAGTTATACCTGAGACTAAAACTAAGGGATGAACTTGAGTTCTATTCTGTCCCCTTTTCTCTACATGACAAATACAAGGAATTCCCCAACCTATTGTAAAGAATAGGGATAGCTCAAGCCCAGTGAGCTCTGAGACTCATTCTAATACTTCCCATCATAGAAGTAGGTAACAGGGATGAGCATGTGCCACTGAAATCCTATGTGCATCCTGACACTGAGAAAAAAGTAAATAAAAAACTTATGTTACAGATTTATTAGTTTTGAGATTAAGAAGGAAACAAAGACCAATCCCCTTAACAAGGGGTGGGCAAGTCACCTAGGAGCAACAAAGTTGCTATGATGGGGAAGAAAGATCACAAAACAGAAGAGGTTTCTCCAGGAGACTTTTTAGTTGAGAATACAGGCAAGTGACCATGATACTAAGGAAGTTTAGATCATTCAAGAGATGTTTCCTGGATATTTTCCTTGGGGGGTGGGGGTGTGCAACAAGGAAAAGCAACCCAATGACATGAGGTGGGTGTGTGATAGGAAAAGTGTTTCAGATTGCTTTTAGTCTCCAGGTGGGGAGACACTGTGAAGTGAGTGGAAGCCTAGACTCAGGCTGCAACACATGCAGGCTTGTGCCAGGAAGGGCTGGAATTTCATACCTGGGATGGGGGTTGGAGTAGAAGAAACTTTGAGCTAGTTGTGATGGAATGGTGTGGCAGAAGAGAGGTTGGTCTATATGTATGTAACACAGATTAGCTTATTTTTTAAGTAGAGCAAAAAATGGTCTTTTAAACATCTGGTTCAAATTTCTTGAAAGAATTCTGGTGCTCTCTTGCTCCAAAATTCAAGCTATTTCAGACATATTTCTATGTAAGACCTTTTAACCCTCCATACCTTGATCTTCTTTGGCTTTGGTGCTGCGCGACCCTTTTCTGGACTCTTTTTTCGCTTTTTGGGTTTGGTTCTTCTAACAGTTAAGGTGATACTTGTAGGTGTGTGCTGTGTTGCTGTATACAACACAGTGGAAGGAGAAAGCTCCTCATCCCAGCTTTCTGTTGCACTGCTATCCCCACCTGAGAAAAGGTGATTTTGTAGGTCAAGCATCAGTCTCAGAAGTTTACCAACAGTTTTTCCGTTAAATGTGCCCCATACCCAATAAGTTACTGCCTTCCACTATCAACTCTATCATCTTTAAAGAAATACAGCCACTTTTTTTTTTAATGAAAACAAGATCTTGTTCTATCACCAGCATTAATTAAACTATTCTACACTGTACCGTTTTCTCTCCTTATATTTAGCCCTGTAGCTTCAATGTCACTCTTTCTCTAACAAGTTGAGACTGAATTAAAAAAGGAATTTCTTTTGGTAGTTCCCAGGAATACTTTGCTACAGAACTAAAATGCTGTTTCCATATACATCCAATTTGCAATGATAGATCTATAGTGATATTAAGAGGATGCCTATCCCTTTCCATGAAAAGAGCAGGGGACCATGGTAACTTGTAAGAGGGACTACTTTGAGAAAAGCTGAGTCACAAAATATTTATATGTCAAAATGTGGGGTACATGCATCTTGTGCTCACCTGATATGTTGTCCTGCTTCCGCCGATGAAGTCTAATAACCTTCCCCCTGCTCATTCCCCTAAAGAGGAAAATAAACTTAAAGTAGTCCTTCCAACAGCATGCAGCACATCATAGCACACATGGGAGAAGTATCTCTGCATATTCTACCCCCTCCCTCCCACCTACCAAATGTTTCCAGGACATTAAATTTCATATCAAATTCAATAGCTTTAACATCAATCTCTCATTCCTTGTTGTCAGCAATTCTCACCTAGTGCAGAGAATTCGAGCCAAGGAGCATTAAGGAATCATCTACATTAACAAACACAAGAAAGAATACTTTGAGCTTTTCCCTACTAGTAAGAAACCCTACTCCCAGCAACCCAGGCTTGGATTTCATGGAACAGGATCTTACCTGCACTTGTCACAGTTGAGAAGGAAGCCATCCTGAGAAAGACCACAAGGACACCAGGTAGGAACAGTCTCTCCTTCAGAGTTCGGGCTGTCTCCACAGCGTTCCTCTACGGGCGACGGCAGGCCATTCAGGTCAGAACGAGGGATGATCGTCTGGACAGGGGGAGAAGCAGGAGGTGTCGGAGGAGGAGGGGCTCCGTAATTATGATCCTGAAAATAAGATTTTTTAAATCAACAGTGTCCAAACACTGGCCCCTCTCTCCCCTAAAGTATGGTACATATGGAAAGAAAGAAGAAAGTAGTACCCTTTGTTTTTTGGCTTCAACCAGGAAAGTGATAAAACAAAATGCCAAGGTCAACTGGGACATAAAAACAAGAACAATGATGCAGGGCTAGACGTCCGCTGGAGGCAGGGAAGTGCAAAAGGGGCAACTTCGTCATGCTGCATATAAACATTTCAAGAAAGTCACAATGTATAAGAATGGATTATACTCCAGGAAGTTCACTGCTCTGGAAAGAGATGAATGCATACTCACAGCATAAGGCAGTCCTCGACACCCATGCCTCTGAGTGGTCCCATAATTATGAGTGGAATACACGCTCTTCTCATTAACTGCTGGACTAGCCTCCACAGATTCAGGGCTGCACAAAGGCGAAAAGCAATGCATGATAGCATAACACCTAACCTTTCCTTCAACTAGCAGTTTACTTCCCATTCTAACCCCAACTCTTTCTACAACCACCAGCCACTAGAATAAGAGAAGAAACTCAGTGAAATAATCTGATTAACATAACTAAACCTATAAATAACAGGAGAAGTGTTACTGAATGTGAATTTGTGTGTAACATGAAGCCAGTACAGGCAGATGTCTCAAGGCAGGCACCTGGCATACAAGGTGTCCCTAATGACAAACACAAACGTACCAGCTGAGCGGGGAGTTTCCCCTAGAGAAGCCACTCTGGGCTGGTTTAGACTCAGAACTATTCTTCTTAATTGGATCTCTTAATACTTCCATGAAACCTCACATGACATTTGCAGTGAGTGAGATGATGAAAGTGCCTTCTGCACTGCCCCAGGGACCAGGCCCTCTTCCATTCACTACCAAGACAGGATACCCTGAAGAAAGTACAGGTAAAAACAATGGCATCTTATATTTATCACACCTCTCATCTTGACCAACCCCCAAACACCTTTCGCATGTTAAGAATAATAACTTCTCATTCACCAATGACATGCAAGCATATTGAAGAAACAAGTATTTAATAGCTGCATGGTTATAATCATAGGACCTCAAAATAGTAACAGCAGTAAGAGCTATCATTGTGAATTGTCTATTATTTGCTTTATATATATCCATTCATTTAATTCTGCAAGCACTGAACTTGGTAAACAGTACCTCATTACAACGAAGGGGGAGGCTGAGGTGGTGAGATTTTATGACTTCCCCAAGGTCACACACTCAGAGCCAGAATTCAAACCATGTCTGACTTGAAAACCTATGTACCATTTGCACTATATGCTTTATTTGGAAAACAGGATAACATCCTACCTTTAAAGAAAAATTTTCAAGACCTTTTTAAAGCAGGTTTAGTGAGAGGCTTGGTTTAGGAGGATCTTTTTGTATCCTCAATGAATGGAAAATAAATGATTCGAACACAATTTATTATTTTAAAAGATTTATAAATGTATTCTTATTTAGAAATTTAATGTAAGCCTTTATAATAAAACGCATAGTGGCCAGGAATAAAATACAAATTTCTGGAGAAAAGAACCTCAATTTTAAATAGCACTTTGTTAGGTTTTAGGGAATTTTGAAAAATAATTAAGGAATGTAATTGTAGAACTTGACAGAACTGAAGATGAATTACCTGTAATTTATATCAATTAGAATAGATACACAAATTAGAAACTCCAAAGACTAGTATAACTCAAACTTAAGAGGTCAGTGGGCTTGGTATATAAGGAATCAAATAATGCATACAGTTTGCTTAAAATAAATAAGACATCTTTCCTGCTTTAAGATACCCAAATTTTCAGCAGGAAAAAAATATGCAATTCAATGTGGTTCATCAGTTGAAGTGAGGGATAAAAGAAAATTCTAAGATGTATATCCAACTCACCCAGTTTTATGCTCCAAAACTGTGAGAAGGGATCTTATTAATAACAGCAAAGGTAATTTCTAGGTGAAGAAGAACTTTAGACACAGGAAAGTATTTTCTGTTAGTGAAGTGCATGCATTTTATTACTTGACAGTGTCTATAAGATGGGAACTGGAAAGGGGATTACATCAAGAATGCAGGTCAGTATTCTTGAAAAAAAGATGATCTAGATATGGCTCACTGGGAGGCAATCAGCTCTGAGTATCAGGAAACAGGTGGGGTAGACAAGCATTAATAAAATGAAGACATAATTTAGTTTCTATGATGGACAGTTAAAAGAAAGTAATGAATTTATAATTAATCTAGTAGGCACATTATTATATAAACAAATATTCTGAAGAGTTATACATATTTTATACCGGAGATTTTGTCCCATTAAACATGGAGTGAAACATGACAGCTGTTTATTAGAAATGGATTTTTTTGAAGGGGCGGGAAAAAGAAAAGCTGCATGAAGTAAGATGGCCATGGAGATGGAGCTATGTTGATTATATCTTACCCATCTCCAAACTGGGTAAATATGAACATATGCACTTCATGTGCAAGTCTAGGGAATAAAAATAAAATGGATATTGTGGAGGTTAACAGGCCATCCATTGCACAATATTTTCTAGTTAAGCATAGCATTTTTTAATATACTGCTATGCAATTTAAATTTGTGGAAGTAACTGCAATTTTCATACTGGTTACAGCTCAAATACATAATTAGGTATTGACAGGTAACTATAAGATTTCTTTGACTATTCCTTTACATACATTATCAGTTCTTAGGAATATTTTAAAATGTGGATTACAATTTTGAGTATTAGGATTACATCTTTTTGTTAGCTAATCAATTTAGGCAAATGTAATTATAGTCTTTTTTTCTATAATCCAATTTGTATGACAGCTGGGTGTATATATACAGAAAGTAGGTTCAACAGATATACTTCATCAGTTGTGTTCAAGGTACCATATGCAACCTGCCACTAAACTATTAAATGCTCAGAAATGACTGGAATTCTGTTAGGGAAGTGCTGGAAATTCAGAAAAATCTTCTTTTATTACAAGTTTTCTAATAAGTATATAAAAATGCATATTGTAGTCATCAAATTTCAGTATCATGAGGTGAGGTCTAGTTCTTTTATTTGGTTGAGTATGTTGCCCTTAATACCAGGTTTAATCCTAGAGAACCTGTAACAGTGGAATAGGTATGATGAAGAACTGACAAACACTGTTAATAAAAAATTTAAGAGAACAGTACATGAGCTTATTATTGACATCCTCTCCCTTTGTAGAACTACTAATTTAGTAACAGTGAATTTTGTTCTGACCATATTAGAAATCTCTGTAGAGGTCATGGATGAAAATGTTCAGGAAACTCTAGAATATGACACCATGCTCAAATTTGTAGACCAGTGTACTTTAATTTCTGAAATCACTCCTGGACTCCCCAGCAACATTTATGGGCAGTCACTGCTGTAGTATCAGGACAATACCAGCTGCATTAAAAACTGCTTTGGGTCTTTTTTATATCTACTAACTCTAAACTTCCTGGCTTTAAACTGCTCAAATTTCTCTTAAATGTGAATGCTGTCTGCATATTACACTATTAATATAGCATAGCAACTTGCTACCTGACTTGTATATAAAAAAAAATCTATAAACATTATACAATTTTCTACTAATACAGGAAATATTTTAAGTATCACTTTGGGAAAACGGTTTAAATTCGTAAGTCTCAGCTAACGGCATAACTACATTGCTTCAGCATGCAAAAAAATTAAAAGACACGAAGAATAAAAAACTTTAGAAGCACAAAACGCCCTACCCCCACCCCCACCCTCCTTCCTTTTTATGTGGGGTTAAACTTGAAAATTGTTTTCAATTCTAGACTACCCCAGAATATTACATATTACATCTTGGGGGTAGCTTTATTTTAAGTCTTCTTCTTTTAAGAAGTTCAGTAAGCAGACAAGGCTTTATGAAGAAATATACATGCTCTTTAATATAAGAGTAATATCCTCAGTTTTAAGGAAGAAAACCACTACTAATGAGGGATACCATCCAACCCAGAACTCTGGTATAGTTGCTTTGCTTGGCTGAAGGGGAAAGACTCCCCAGGGACTATGAAAATGGCAAGAGAAACAGGGGAATTAGAGCAACACCCACCTCACTCAAGAAGTGGCTGTGGGATCAAGAGTCTGAACTGGACCTGAACATATTCAAAACACCAGGATTTCTCCAGCCCAGACCCTAATCCCTGGTACTGCCTGGAATAGACTTGGCTTCTGGGGGTGTGCTGCCCCCTAGGCCCCTTGGGTCTCTTTCGCTGGACTTTCACATCCTGGTGTAGTGCCACTTCGTCTTGAAAGGTAGGGGGCTTCCACTTCCTTTCTGTAAGCAAGGAAGATTGGGTACAAGGGAGGTAAAAGGACAAGAGGGGAATCTGTGAGCAGGGGGAATCTTGGACAACTTAAAAGAGAAGGGATACAAAAGGCTAAGAATTTTTAAACTGTGAATAATATATAAAGTAGTATAATGAAGGCCTACCTTCATTGTCATTTGGCATTTAAATTCTTCAAGAATTGAGTCTATTTTAGGGATTAGGCTTTTCGACAAACTCTGAATTTCTAAAGCTGCTCTTAGCTGAAAAAAAAGTTTGGTACCACTGATTTTGAAGGTCCTCTTTCTAGGCAATGAATATATTAAAAAAAAAAAAAAAAAAACAGGTGATACCGCTTTCCATTTTTCTACCCCAAATATAAGAAGGTCTAATCAACATGCCATATAAAGTTTGAGCCCCTTTAAAGTTCAACAATGGGAAATACATAGGAAGAGGCCTTCAAGAAAAATCAGTTGGAAAGAACACCTTATCTCTGCCATTAATCATTACTTTTATAGAAGCAGGCAATGACACCCACTTTATTTTAGTCTTTCCCACCCATCACAACAAAAGAAAATGTAATCACTACTTTGAAACTCTGTATTATTTACCCAAAATCCCTTCTTAAAAGTTTTTTTCTTCCCGTTTTAATTCCTTTTCCCCCCAACTTCTATGGGAGAAAAGGTCAAGGACTAATGTCATTTACAAGAGGGACAGGCTTTGGGGAAGAAAATATATCTTCTTAGCTACCCAGAAGAAAACTGCCTTCACACAAACTGACAGTGTGCCTCCTATCTAGGAAGTAGCACTTACTCTGATCCAGCAGCCATATCTGAGTAAGATGTATCTGGTGTGGTGACTCCCAGAGGGATTGCAATGCTCATGACGTCCAACACAGCAAAGAGTGGAAATCACGGGGTCCAATTAATGGAGAATGACCACTCTGAGAGTGGGGGTGAGCCGCACAGCCTCAGCCAACATGTTATGGACATGAGGAATCCTGCCACAGAAAAGGAAAATATCTACTTACCAAATAATTTTCTACATGTATCCTAAATGGTACTAAAATTTCTTCACTGCTTTCCAATATTTACTATAGTTATTAGTGTTCCACAAAGTAGCTGAAAGTTAAGCTTTTTAAATTTTTTTCAAGCAAATGGAAATTGTCTACTTCAGTAGGCATATTACCCCTTCTCTACAACTGCCCATTAGATGAAATCTTCTGGCAGCCTAGGATCTACTAAACATGTCTGAAGACTATTTGATACTTCCTACTTTAAATAAACTAAGAATGTCAAGTTATTAGTTAAAACTTTCTGTCTAGGTTGTAAATAAATGTACAGCTTATATTTGAGTAGACACTCCTGTTTTTACTACTTTTGTTATAGAGTCCTTTCTTCATACAGAGCCCTTTCTTCACTACTATCATTTTCTTCTAACTGCAATTTGGGGAAAATGTACTTAACTGAACTTCTAAAGTAATATACACTGCTAGACATGAACAGAAATGTAAACCATGGAAAAGTCTATGTAAGTGTGGGTGCAAAAGGTATTTGGGAAATGTTTGTATCTTATGTTCATGTATCATTAACATAAAATTGCTCTAAAAATGTGGGCATATCCATGTCTGTATAAAAGACAACAATAATAAACTACAATGAATCTAATTTCAAGACAAAGATTAGAGAACTTTGTATAACAAGCAGCGATGACTTTTTAACTGTGATGAGTGCAGTTTGGGAAAACAAAGATTCCTGAATTACTGAAGAGTAAAAAGGAAAAGTAGATTAAGAGGTTTGGAGATATGTTACAAGGGAGAATAGGTATAGTTTTATGATTTCACATTAGTGGTTTTATATTCATATAAAAAATAAAAGGATGGGACCGGGGAGATGGCTCCGCGGAATAAGTGGTTCCCTGGTAAGTGCAAGGGCTTCAGTTCAATCCCTGTTTCTGCAAAAATAAATAAAATAAAATAAAAGGATGAAACAAGTAGGAAAGTTGATGCTAACTAATATGAAATATTCAAGTTAATAAAGATCTTTGGAAAAAAGCTATGAAGAGTCATGACTGAAATACTGATTCATGATAAACATAATAGAAAAATACCCCAAATTCCCAAATGGAATGAAAAGTGTAGGATATTGAGTCAATCTAGTGACCAATGCTGATTTAAACAGTAGCTCATTTGAGATAAGTTTGAATCCTATTTTGATATATAGGAAGCAGGTTCATTAGCATAAGACTAATTGTAAATCAGTTTAATTGTGAAAAAACTAATTAATGGTACATTAGGAAATGATTTTTTTTGTATTTAGAACAGGGTCTACAGGGTCTCCCTGTATAGATCAGACTTGTAGTGATCCTCCTGTTTTCAGCTTCCCAAGTGCTGGGATTACAGGTGTGGGCCACCATGCCCAGTCTTCGAAAACAGTTTTAAAGAACATATAAACAAAGCATGGAGCTGGGAAGAAAGCTTAGTGGTCCAAGTGCCTGCCTTGCAAGCACAAGTTCCAGGGTTTGATTCCCGGTACCACATGCCATGCTGGCCCCTGAAACTGGTCATGGTAGCACATGCCTGTAATCCCAGTGCTGGGGAGGCTGAGACAGGAGGATCACTACGAGTCTGAGCTGCATAGTAAGATCTTGTACCAAAGAAATAAAAGATTAAAAAAATATTTTTTAAAGAATACTTATCAAACAAACTCAAAAGGGTGTAGTTCATTATTAATACCTCCTTGACCAGTAAAGAAAATCTGAATCATGTTATATTTTACACTTGATCTTAGCCAAAAGGCCAAAAAGTGATGAATCATGTTATACTTTCAGGAGAAAAGTCATTCAATGCTACTAAAACCCTATGTATGTTACAGCCATTACTATTCTATGCCTGTTAAAAAAATTATAAATCTAAGCTACATGTTAACTTTTTTTGACAGTAATTTTTAAGACACACTAAAAGAAAAGGAAAGAAATTATTACTTCAGCTAGTATTTCCAGTATTAATGAATAAATGAGCTTTATATTCACCAAGAAATCTCTGGCTTTTGTATGTATTATCTATTGCTGTTTTCAATGGCCAGAACTTTTGTCTGACATATACAAAGGGCTCAAGAAATATTTGCTGAGGGAATTGTGATCATCATTACAGCAAAATGATTTTAGCATTCATTAGAATGCAAATTTTAAAAACAAAACAACTTCGGTCAGTTACCTTTATATAGACCACTGAATATGAAGTCCCCCCAAATTATCTGCCAGTATAGCTCTGAAGACCTAGAGAAAGTTAAAACAACAATTATCATCAGGAAAAATAACACTGATGAATATACAGAGTAGACATCTATAATACATTAATGATAATGTTTCACTTTGATATACTGCACTGCCTTGTTTATCATCCTATGACATTCAATTCTAAAATTTCTGTCATCTAATCTACATATCCTGTTTTCCTTGTTCAACCAGAAGCTAAATAAAGGGTGGGGAAGGAAATTTATTTAAGAAATAGTAAACATATATTATGTCATTGGTGAATGTCTTTCCTTCCAATTAGAATTCCCTCTCTTTACCAAGGGCCCTTTCATCACATCCCCAAATGTCTTTTCTTTAATCAAACATCAAATTTACTCTTCAGCTAGATAAGGAGCTACAAACACATTTTCAATTACAAGTTCATACTACTTTTTCCCCTCATCCAATCTGATCTATCCTACAGAAAGGAACAAAACAAAAAAAAAGGGTCAGTTCTATTGTGGTCAACTCCATAATAGAAGCATGCTGAAAAATGAGGCTCTAATTAATTTTGTACTTTCCAGAAAGGAAATTAGTTTCTGGAAGAAAATGATCAGTACTCCTTAATTTTTCAGGAATGTTTTCTCCTAAAAGTCAAATTTAAAATTAGCCAGAATGAATTGACAACTGAAATGTTATAGTAATGTATCATAAACATGAATAAAGCAATTCAAGACACTTCAGAGAGCTCCAGACTCTGGAGAGCTTTATCAATTTCCAATATTTAAAAAATTAGAAAATAAGCCATTCTTTAGAGAAAAATTTTGAAAAGCATATCCAGAAATACAAAAACAAAACGCATGAAGCTAACAGCAAAAAGCAGCAATACAGTAAAACAAGCAAAAGTAAACTTCTGTAAATAGCAAGTAAGAAGAGGACAGGAAAAGAGAAATATTGTAGAGAGAAAATGAATGCACTAGAACTTCAATTTTTTTATCCGTTAATAATCCCTCAGAGTCCACAGGAACACTATTAAGTTCTTGGATTCATAAACAGAAGCATCCTGTATTCTAGGACTAAGTACTCTTTTGAGTAGTCACCACTGACATTCAGTTTCTAGCAAAAAGGATGTTAAATAGAACATGCCAGCAATGGATTATAATTACCCTGTCTTTTTAACTGAGTTCAGAAATAGCCAGTATTCTGTGTACTATCATTCTAACAGTGTCTTGTCTATATGATCTGCTGACAGCCCAAGACCCATACTTTCTTGGCTCACTCTCAGAGTAGACAAACAAAAGGTGTTTTAAGACCAATTCAGAGATCTCAGATGAAATTGCATCAGACAGGTGAGCCGGAAGCAGCTGGGAGAGAAGAATCCAATAAACAGCCACCCCAGTGAAAGAGATTCAGAACAAGTCTGCTTCAGTAATCTAGTGAAGAGGACTGGCAGGAAGAGGAGTGCCGCTTCAGAAAGAGAACAGGCCTCATATGCTTCAGACAGTCTTTGTGCTGAGGCTGTGGACCTTGGCCATTCTCCCAGAAATGATGCAATCCTGATGCACAAGATCTGCTGCCAGAGAAACAACTGTTGCTTGCTGCCTACGAAGACAGCTCAGCCAAAGAGCTATCTCTTGATCAATTTTCCCCCATAACTCATCAGAGTGCCAAATCCCTTCCTCAATTTCAGTCTCTGACAAAACATAACGGGATATATA